GTCTTCAGTTGCAACAGCCTACGTGGTGTGAATCATGTCTCCCCTTCAGCAAATTCTGTCTTGTTCACTAAACAAGGTGTTGGTCTGAGGAGGCATAAGGGGTGTGAGTTTGAGTGAGAGGATGAGGGAAATGCTGACATCTGGATTACATACAGCATAGAGAGAAGAAACTAGAACACAGAAAGTGAGAGTCAATGCCAGTGATTACGGGTTCTAGAATTTCAGATACTTTCTGTTAGTCATTAATTCTGTAATTTGCAATTATGTGTCCTGGACTCTCTTAATCTGAGTTACCATTCACCCAATAATGACCCAGTGCCCATTACTGGAATACTTACTCATCACTAGCACATATTAATCGATTATGAAAATTCAGAAACAAAGAGCTTTCTTCTAGCTGAGGGTAGGGTGAATTTAAAGAAGGCAACATGATAGGAGTTGCATTTGAGCTGGGCCTTGAAGAATGGATAGGAATTGGTCATGCAAAGGCTTTTCAGAGGAAGGGAACAGCATGGACGATCCGACCAAAGGCAAAGTCACACATTTTTTTCAATATATATTTAGCAATGTCCACTGTGTACCAGGCGCTATGCGATATGCGAGGTCCCAGGGATGTGAAGATGAATTTGGCTTCATAGGCTTCTGTTAATATATCCTGCTATTTTTCTATTCATTTTGCTATTGGTTTTGCACATCTATCAGGTCTTTTTGGCCACATTTCTGCCTGGCTAGTTTTTCTTTCTTGAATTCTTGTGTGTGTGATGCTTCTTTTGCTCCCTAATGCATTTTAACCTGCCATTGATGACCATTTCTCTAATTTATTGAGGTCAATTGAATTTTGATCTTCTATATACTTGGCACATCCATCTGCTTGGGGTCATATGTAATATATATGAAGACTATCACTTTCTTTCCACTGTCCAGACCCACATCTCAATACCCTTTTGTGCCAATATATACTGAAAGTTAGAAGTAAGACAAGAAATAGAGCCCCAGAATCCCAGGTTACAAGACCTAGTATACTTGACCCTTGAACAACAGATTTGAACTGTGTGCATCTACTTATACATGGATTTGTTTCAATAAATATAGTATAGTACTAAGTGTATTTTTTCTCTTTTGATTTTTTTTTTTTTAAGTTGGCTTGAACATGAGGCTTGAACTCACGACCCTGAGATCAAGACCTGAGCTGAGATCAAGAGTCAGACTCCTAACCGACTGAGCCACCCAGGCTCCCTTTCCTCTTGATTTTCTCAATAACGCTTTCTTTTCTCTAGCTTACTTTATAGTAGAATGCTGTATAAAATACATGTAACACAAAATAAGTGTTTATGTTATCAGTAAGGCTTCTGGTCAACAGAAGGCTATTAGTAAAGTTTTTTTTTAAGATTTTATTTATTTTTTGACAGAGAGAGAGACAGTGAGAGAGGGAACACAAGCAGGGGGAGTGGGAGAGGGAGAAGGAGGCTCCCCGCTGAGCAGGGAGCCGGATGCGGGGCTCGATCCCAGGACCTTTGGATCATGACCTGAGCCGAAGGCAGATGCCTAATGACTGAGCCACCCAGGTGCCCCAGTAGTTAAGTTTTTAGGGAGTCAAAAGTTATACATGGATTTTTGACTGTGCAAGGGGTCATCTCTAACCCCCATGTTATTCAAAGGCCAACTGTGTATCTGTAATTGACCACAGTTTTGTCAACTGAAATTGCAATGATGTCTCTTAATGACAGTCATCACTGTTATCAACAGATACCAGAGTACCTACTACAGGTAGAAACAATGATACATGATGCATTGGCCCCCATTCTTAAGAAGAGGCTTACAGTCTAGATGAGGAGGCAAATAGACGACGCATAGGGGACTTTTCCATTTCTCTTCCTAACAGAGTAAGAGAACAGAAGTGAGACTGTGGGAACACAGGAAGGAATTTCCTTCTCTTCTGCCCTGTCTTCTTAATGGCTTCCTTCAGAAGGAAGAATTTGTTAATCGGATTGGTCAGAACCCAGGACATCAACGAATTTACATTTTACGTGGCTGGGGTCACTTTTAAAGGTCACATGGCCCTGTGTGCTGCCTAGCTCCCCATTTCCTGCTAAGTAGGCCCAGCTCAGTCTCTAGCACACACTTAGAGGAGTAAAGCTGGTCTACTTCCCAGATCTGATCATCTGCTCCCCCCTTTCTTTCTGCAGGCATGCCCACGCATCCTGGCCCCAAAATGTAGAGGGTGGAAAGGGAACAGGGAATTAGGAAGCTTCACTGCAACAGCCTTAAACCTACGCCATGTCATTCAACCTCGTCTTCTGGCAGAGTTCTATTCTAGAGGTTATTGGGTGCGAGCTCAGCTATGAATAAAATGATCCTTTGGTTTCAATTCCAATTTCTTTCTTGTGTATAGTCCCCTTGGGAACCCTCAGAAGAGGAGAGACGATTAGCAGAGCAGGATTGGACTATTTCTGGTCCCTGAGTGTGGCAGACTATATTGTTGGTCACGGTTTTTCACGAATGTTTGCTGTCCTTCCCTGTGGATCTCAGAGTTGGCCAGATGAACTTGTTCTGACCAAGAGAATGTATCAGTTCCAGGTAGAAGTATAAAGAGTCAGTGTGTTATTCACCATGATCACTTTTCTTTTTTCATGAGACCAACATTGTCCTAGATAAGGGTCAATTGATAAGCCTGGGTCCCAGCATGAAGACAAACTAGAATGTAGCCAAGGTGACCTGCCATGAACATGTAGGGTATTTCAAGAAAAAAAACAAAACACAAAACTTTGTTGTAATAAGCCACTTTGAGATTATTTGTTACCATGGCCTAACCTAGCTGACATGTTTACCCTATTACTGTCTGTATTAAACTCTGTTGCTTGGGGCGCCTGGGTGGCTCAGTCGTTAAGCGTCTGCCTTCGGCTCAGGTCATGATCCCAGGGTCCTGGGATCGAGCCCCGCATCGGGCTCCCTGCTCCGTGGGAAGCCTGCTTCTCCCTCTCCCACTCCCTCTGCTTGTGTTCCCTCTCTCGCTGTGTCTCTCTGTCAAATAAATAAAATCTTTAAAAAAAAAAACAAAACTCTGTTGCTTGTCCTAACATCTTTTCTCCCTTCATTTCTCCTAAGAAAACCCTCATTTTGCCCAGGTTATTCACCTAACTCTACATGTGCTTAGGGGAAAGGATTCTAATTCCCAGCCACAGGGGCAAATCATAATTTAAGCCATTCATGATAGTTTCTTCCTTCTTGACGGCAACTGGTTTAGATGTGGGTATATGAGACTGTGGGAAGTTGGCTTGAGGGCTTCCAAGACAAGTTTTCCGTGCTAATATAAAGGGACACGTGGGAAGAAACAGTCTCTCTACTTCTGCCAGACATTATGTGGATGCATGTGTTAGGTGGGATTGTGGCAACCATTTTGTAACTATGAGGGACACTAACGGAAGAACGTCAGAGTGAAAAGATGGAGAGAATCTGGATCCCCTGATAGTGTTATTTAGCTGTTAAATGAACTAACTCTAAAGCTGAGCTACCTCTAAATTTCTTGCTATGTGTGATAATATATTTTCCTTATTGTTAAAGACAGTAGAATCTGGAATCCGGGGAAAAAGAATGAGTTTAGTTTTAGGGACGTTGAGGTGATGGCAGGACAGCATCCTTTTACATAGCTGAAGCTCAAGAGATGTCAAGATTAAATTTGAATTTGGAAGTCATCTCTGGAAAAATATTATATGCCAATACATTCGGGAAAATAATCCTATACCTGAGACAGTATCTCTGTGCTTGAGGAATTTTGGTACTATAACAAAACATTACACCTAAACAAGTGTAGCCATCTCCTAACGATATGCCACTGCCCCAGGTCCTCACCTGTCACCCATCCTAGGAAAGGAAGACCACAGGGATGGTAGGAACCTGCTAGCAAGGGAAAGCAAAGACAGTGAGGAAGTGATGACACCATCTGGGTTCTCAGACCCTGCTCTCCTCAAGCCTAGATATGCACATGCATCTGCATATGACTTAAGGTTCTAATCTTGCATAGATGACTGTGAACATGGATTATAAGCAACTTCTAAATTTACTGACTCTTATATAGCTGTTAGAAACAATCATTCCAGCAAACTATGGTTCATCATCTCTTAGACATCGTATGTGTGATACTGCAAAAGCCCCAGAGGAAGCACCAGAGTCTTGTGAACACCATGAAATATCAAGGAAATGGTCAATGTAGAGGATAGAGTCTCTAGTGCCCAAGCTGATCTGTGGTTAGAAGATAGTTTTGGGGGCACCTGGGCAGCTCGGTCAGTTGAGCGCCAGGATCTTGATTTCACTTCAGGTCACAATCTCTGGGTTGTGGGCTACCCCCGCC